GCTAAAACATTTTGATCAAAAGCGAACCTTACTCCAATCGGCTCCGTTGCATCTTTCTGTAAAAATGGGCTCAATTTTCGCCATGGTTTCTTCACAGATGGTGCCCTCCACGTTTTCCACTCGAGAATCAACTTAGGACTTATTCGCAAGCGAAAAACATTGTTCCGTTGAGCCATTAAGTTCCGAAGAAGATTTGATGGCAGAGCACGGCTTCATAAAAAAAGGATGTTTCTTCTGTGACACGGCCTTTGTTTCTACCGAAAAGCAAGGGGAGATCCTTTGGAGCTCTTCTCAACTCCATATCATGTAAAATCCCTGAAAAAATTCTCGAGCTCCTCGTGAATTTGGTCAAAATCTTGTGCGATTGCCTAATTAGTAGTTTTTGCGACGACCTGACCTTTTAAAAAGTCAGACAGCATTTTCTATCATACTGTCCCCTTGAGAAGTAGGATGTTAGCACAATAAAAAAGTTTGGCGAAACGGAAGTGAAAAATAATAGAAAAACATGAGGTGGAGTTATAATTTTGGGACGTCGGCTAAGTGGCCTTTTGAACAAAAATTATTAGAAAAAATTCCTGGGATCTCAAGTTGGAAGTTGATGTTCATAGGCAATTTCGTATTTGTATTTGACACACTGCCACATTGGAGACTTTTTCTAAAACATCTAAATTTGTGAGATTTTGGGAAATTCTTAGGTGGAGTTATAATTATGGGACGCAGTGTATTATATCCTTATCGTGAATTCTTCCTTCAAAGAACACGAAGAAATTCTTAGATTGTGCTTCAGAACAACATTAAAAACCTAAACACTATTTTCCGTATATTTTCTAATTTTTTGAGCTGACACAGTTCTCCCATTGCTGAATACATCGATTATTGATTGTTGAGAATATTTTTTCGGGCGATTTACAGGCCTATAAAGTGAAACTGGTAATATAAGAGTGTATATATGCCTAACTGATCAGTTGTATCTCTATCCCGTGACCTGTAGATGAACAGAAATTGGCAGAGAATATCAAACTCAAGGGCATAATAGAATCCATTCCAAGTATGTAGTTTCAGGTTGCTTGATATTTCGTGAGATTTTTACCGTATTTATATGTTGACCCAATATTAATCAATTTGAACAATTTTTGCAAATAAGTTTGGTTGCCCATTAAATGGTGTGTGGATTAAAAATGTATATTGCAAATGAATCGAAATATTTTGGTTTTTTAAAAATGCTCGTTGCTACACTTCTAGAAAAGGTGATCCACAGTGTACTATGGTTCAGAATCATTTGAAACGTTTTCGGAATTTCCAACCAAATATAAATGCTAGGTAGCAAAATTACGATTAGCCACGCCTTGAAGTGTTCGAAAAACGGGACGCGAGCTCAGAGACGCAGAGAAGTGGTGTGGGACTACCGGAACTTCAAGCAAACTCGGACTCGGGCACAAGAAAAAGCAGCTCTTCATGAGAACAGAAAGAGAGACCATATCCTGCCGTATTCCTGCCGTAATATCGTACTGCGCGCCAATTAAATCAAAAATAAAAGTAAATGAAGTGGCATCTTCAGATGTTGCCGTGGCTGATGACCGCATGCATCTACCCGTGTGTTGTAGGCCCGGATTTCTGGGGTCTGGTGAACCGCGACTGGCGTATGTGTACTGCTGGTCAAATGCAAAGTCCTGTGAATATCGATCCAACTCAGCTGCTCTTCGATCCACACCTCGAACGGATTTCGATTGATGACGTACATGTGAGTCGTGTTCATTTTCTTTTACGCTCAAAAATACAATACAATGTATGCGCAGCAAGTCAAGGTCCTTCACAGCAAACGATAAGCACTCCAAGAGTCTTTTCCCTCTTCTCTAGAATAATCGACAATTTTGGCAACATTCACGTATTTCATGTGT